TAGCGGCAGAGATAACTCTTAGTCTGACTGACTAACTCCCCTTTACTCTGTTCCCCCTTTTATATAATTTTTCACCGAATCTCCAAAATTCTCGAATTGTCTCTAAGACGACAGAACGTCTAGGATTCCAGAATCATCGCGTAAAGACCTCGCGAATGACAGCTAGTCTCGAAAACTATACTGGCAGGACAGAAAGGAACCAGTCCGTAAAAGTATCACGTGAATTTGGCTTCAAAAGTGCAACCCTATTATAGTAAATGTTTTTTCAGTATTCTGAGAAATACCGTGAGAAAAAAAAGTAGGCATAAGGCAAATAAAAATATATAATCTTAAAAAATAGTAGCATGCATAATTTCTACTAAAATTTTTATTTTTGCCATTTTATCTGAGCTCAAGGGGGGTGTTTAAACCCCTCCCTTGCGTACGCCACTGTCCCAATTGACCAAATATCGCTCTACATACTTTACGAGCTCAAGAGACAACAACCCCTTTTGTACGAGCGATTAATACTCACTTGGGCCGGATCAGGCTATTGGTCGAAAATTACATCACTGTTTGGGGGAAGGGAGATGGTGGCTATTGGCTGGTGTTCGTATGATTTTGGCGACAAATTTTGTATTAACATGTGCTTCGGGATTTATTTCTTCCTTGTAAATGTTAACATAATATTATGTCGTCGTTAGGGTGGGGGAGATAGGTAAATGTCCTTTTGAGTATTTCTGACAGTATTTTTGTTTTAATTGATTGAAATTCATGAAAGCTAAAATAAATAAATAAGATGAATACTATACAATATTCAAAGACGTTTTTTTTTTATTGTAGCTTTTTCTTGAGAATTATCTTTTACAGTTATAAAGTAACGAAGTTGATAAAAATATAAGCTCAAATTTACTGATACAAATTTACTGATCTTTATTTAGTTGTGTTGTGAATAATTTTAAAAACTTTATAATCAAACAACATTTAAATTTAGTTTAAAGTAATGACCAAAATTCTGTGCTTAGCCTCCCCCCCCCCTGCATTTCTAGATCAGCCCCAGTTCATGAAGTAAAAGCAGTATTGTTTAATATCACTTACTTAGATTCTAATAAAAATTACCACAAAACTGTTCAAAATGTGAATATTGTCTTTATTACTTTTTGATTATAATAAATATTCCCATTCATAGGACATTTCAAACTTCTAGTTTTTACATCAGCTTAATGAACGTTTCTTACATGCTCGTATAAATTTTTATTTCGTTTAAATATTTTTTCGGAAATCACCTGATTCATAATTAATAATAACAAAAAAACATTAATAGATAAAAACAAGAAACATTAATACCACGAGTAAACAGAGCTCGTTTGAAAGCTAGATTTAAAATCTGTAGCCAAATCAAGATCTGTCGCCAATTTACTATGCAATACACAGCATGTCCCTTCCCCCAAACAGTGATGTCATCTACGACCAATAGCGTGATCCGGCCGAAGTGAGGATTAATCGCTCGTCCTTTTGTTGGCAACTACTATTGCCAACAGAAATTTAAATATTGTTTGGCAAAATGTTTACTTTATTCAAGATGGCAACAAAAAGGAAGTTTCATTTGCAAAGGATTATGGTCAACTCAGCTGTTTATGTTTAGCTTTTTGGGTTTAATGAATTGCATGTAAATAAACAATACAGGGTGGAATGAGTTGCTGAAATTATATGATAGGCCATAATTCAATTTATGTTGAATGAAATATTTTTGAAACTATTCCTCACTACATTACTGTTAATAATATGTATTATTTTTCTTGTGAGAGGGTGGGCAAACATTTGTTTTCCTCTTCTGTTGCGTCTGCGTTCGAAGCTTACCATTGATTTAAATAAATATTTATGCATTCATAGTAGTAAGTTAGACTGTTTATTGGTTTTTTAAATTATGTTATAATGAGTGTGATTTTTTTAGAAATTTTGTACTCTTAGTTTAAGGTTATTAAGCAGGTTATATTAGTAAACAATAGTTTTTTAAAAAAAGAAAAAAAAATAATTACATTTTATTAGTTTTTACATTTTCCAATCCTATTAAATTGCTTTTTACTTTACTTCAACGAAAATATTTACTTCTGACTATAATTTTAAATATTGTGAATTATTACAAATCAACTTTTGAATAAATGCAGTCATAAGTTTTCTTTAATTTGAGCTTTCCACCCTCCAGACTTGTCTGTTCGATATCAAATGTCAATTACAATTTTATTTAAACCAGTAAACATTGAAAAAAATTATTATTCAAATTTACTCTTGGTAGAACTGGTTTGTAATTATTATTTAAAAGCAATTAACATGCACTTGTATTTAATTATATTTAATATCAAGCATGTGAAATTACAATATTTATTTTTTAATACTAAAAACGCAGCGAAATGTCAAGTGTTTAAAAGTGTTATGTGATGTAATATATCTATTTAGCTAAAATATAGAATTAAAACTTGTCTACTGTCAAATTTTTCAGAATTTTTTTTATATGTAGTTAATTTAGTTATCAATTGTATGGCAAAAATGGTTGGTGCCAAGTATCTAAATTCAGTTTAATGACACAACTTTAATCACAGTGTTACAAAAATGCATATTTATGTCTGCTATTGTAGAAGTACAGCGATTTTAAGCCCATATTTATCTAGATCATAAAAATAAGATTTCCTACTAGACTTTTCAACTTCAAACAAGAATAAGTTGTTGAATTTGTTAAATGTGCATGATATTGTAACACAATTACGCCAGTTCTAGTATGCTAAATTAATTTAGTATTTCAGATTCAAGGGTCATTAGAGTGGGTTTCTAAAGTATTGTATAAAGGTGCAAATATGAATAGAATGTTGAAGTAATATTTCAGATTTGTGTAAATATTTCATAATAACATTAAAACCAAAGTACAAAAAAGTAGCATATTTCAAAATCTGTAAAAATCTATTGTAATACCATTAAAGCCAAAATAAAAGGAACTAATTAATTTTGAAATTTGTGTAAATATTTTATAGTGGCATTAAAGCTGATTTTCAAAAAAAGCATATAATTTTTTTTTAAAACTGTGTGCATTGTTTTATAGTGTGTACAAAAAAGATAAAACATTATTTGTATATTTTTCTTTATTTGTATGATATATTTATTTATGATAATTAATCTCCTTTATTTGATGATATATTTTTTTTGTCAATATTCCCAGCTGAACTGAGAGTCATAAAAGAATGGTTTGATCCAATTTGTGGCTTTATGCATCAGTTCACATGAGTTGAAATATGGCAGCCCCTCCTATTCCACCAAAAGGCAGTTCCTGGAATCAAGGCAATTCTGCTCCTGACCCACTTATGTGGAGATCCGAAAGCAGGAATTCCTTTCCAAATGATTCAAATAATTGCTTTAGTGATAACTTCTTGCCCTCTACACCCGTTCAGCAAGGTAATTTTAAAGTTTAATGTAATCTTATCAAAAAAAGTTTGAGATTTTTTTTTTTTCACTTTAAGTTCACTTTTTTTTCTCACTTATTTGTGTTCTTAGTTTATAAAAATTTATATTTGTCCACATAGACCTATTTTCATGAATTGTAGGAACATTGATATTATATTTATTATGTTTTTCTATTATAAATTACAATTTACAGATTTTCAAATTCTTATTTTATTAAATTTTTCAAATATATATATATATATATTTGAATTTACAATTTGTTTGGAGAAATTTTTAGGAGTTTGTAAGAGAAAAGCTTAAGGTTAATGAATAGTAAGTATTAGGGCAAGAAAATCGTGAGCCTGAGGTTAAAGTTTGTAAACCTCAACTATATTTTTCTATGTGAAGTAATTTTATATGTAGAATATAAGAGTATAAAGAAACTAATTTAGTATATAAATTATACTACAAAATACTATATAACTATATAAATTTACTCTCATGGGGCTGTAAGTTAAATTTATTATTTAAAAAAAAATTATATTATTTTAAAAAAAATTTCTTTCTTGCTAATTTCACTATAATTAAATTTTTAATTTTTTTTTTTTTATTTGTGTCATCATTTTATTTCTATGTTAGCATCTTAATTTCCATCTTAACTGCAAATATTTGTTTTAGATTTAGTCTTGGTCCATAGCAGAAATCCGGAAGCATGGTAGCAGACCCTGCAGATTATTATTGTAGATTGTCTGCAGATTTGTTTTAATCTGACATTTTTTTTAGTGGCTAGGCTAACAAATTGAGAAAAGGAGAAATAGAAAAATAAATTTTAATTCTTAAATTACTCAATTACTATCTTTTCCTTTATAAAATTTGTTTGCTAATCTGCAGATAACTATATAAGCTTAAGAAAATTGGTGGTTTGAAAAAAACTCTGATCACTTTTCTTTAACTAACTCGAATATTTAGGAGAAAAAAATTTATAAGACTAGAAAAATGAACATTTATTAAAATTTTAGTTACTTGATTAGATGACCTTAGCTTCGGAATTACTTGAATTGATTACTTTTACTTTGGGATTTATTCCTTTATTTTTATTATTTTTTTTAAAGTATTGCATAAAAAATGTAAATTAATATCAATTTTAAATTACAAAATTTATTTGTATCTAATTTTTGTCTGTTTATTTGTTATATTATCTGTTATATGTTAATTTTAACATGTTTTTTGTTACATGTTTTTAATACATGTTAAATTAAGACTGAATTTTGCAATAATAATCTCAGATGCTGTTAGCATTGCAGACTAGTTTGAATACTGCTCATCGACTGAAATGCTGTTGTCAGGGTTCATAGCAGTCACATAGTACTTTTTTAGGGTGCTACATAGGGAGGTTTTCTTAATAATTGTTCTTAGTTCAACATTAATATAAATATACTCTACAGACAGTTTTTTATTTTATTATTTTTTATAAATCTTTTATGTTTGTATTTGTCTTTAAAAAAAAAATTTTTTTTCGAGAAATTTAATTTTCAATAAATTTTATTTTAAAATTTTCTATTTCACTTTTCTGCATACAATGTTTTTTTTGTTGTTGTCCTTAGGTGATGCCCCGCCATTACCACCTCGTCCTTCCTCTGATGCAGTTTTTCAAACGTCAAAGCAGAAAACTGAAATCAATGTTTTAAATCTTGTTCCTCCTGCTCCTACAAGTGGAGTACAGCTTTACAGACGATCTTCTGATTTTCAAGCGTTCAGTCCTGGCTTTAATAATTTTATGACTAACTCTAATTTTGGAAAACCTGGGCCAAATATTTTGTTTCAAAACAATGCATCAACCACCAACTGTGGTACACACATTCGAAGCAATTTTAATTCAACTTCTCAATATTCTCAATCATATGCTACTTATCAATCTGGCCAACAAGCACTTGCATTTACAAACAATATGTATCAGTATCAGTTTAAGAGAGATGTATTCGGATTTGATATCCAGCATAGTAAGTCAGCCCCCAACATTGCTACCTCTGCACCAGTTATACCTGTGCCAAGGTTCTCCATGCCAAATAATAACAATCATGTTTCAAATAATAAAACTACTTATGCCGTAATTAATCATGCTGCAACTGCTGCAAATAATAATGCTCAAGCTAATTTAGAAAATATATTGAAATTTATGAAGAAAAGAAGTGACAGTAATCTTATAGATCTGTATTGTGGAGATCAGGACACAAAACTCAATCAGTCAACCAAATGTCATGATGATATTTTAAAATTGTTTGATCCCCTCAGCAATGCAACTAACTCAATTGAGGAGGACATTTTTGTTAAATCTAAGTCTGAACCGCCACTCGAGAAGCCGTTTATGGAACACAGTGGTATAGATACAACAGATAGAAAAATAATTGAGCCAGTGCTCGAAACTGTATCAATCTGTGAAACGATTCCTAAAAAAGTGAACTCAGAAGATGCCTCAGGAAAGGTCTACAATGATTGTAATGGGAAGCAGACTGATTCGATATTAAAAATTATGCGCAGGAATGATAACTACAATAAAGAAATCGATTCTTTTTGCTCAAAACTCAGAAAGTTAAGGATCGAGTTTTCGTTCGATGATCATGTTACAAATGCTGGTTTGGTTATAAGCCCAACGCTTGATAGCTACCAGGAAGATTCCTTAAGCATAAAACTAATTATTACGAGTATTAACGCTGATCGGCCTGTATCTTTCACGTGCGACGTAAGCACGAGTGTGGAGCATATTATCAGTCATACTGTCTGCTCGATATTTGAAAATGCATCCTCTTTGTGTATGGATAATTTTGTTCTTAAAGTTCAAGGTTTGTCGGAATACTTTACCTCCCATTCAACTTTAGCTGACTATGAATATGTGCACCAATGCCACAAGTTTGATAAGCCAGTTTGTTTGACTTTGACCGATATCAAGGATTTAAAACGTCCTCTTGCCAGAACCAAAAATGATGATATAAATGACACCAATTTCAAATACAAAGATATTGCTCCCTGTATTAAAAAAGAAGTTATTTCTTATGATTCATTAAGTATACTTTTAGATACTTTGGAGAGAGAGATGGAGAAAACAAAATCCAATGCATTGAAATTTGAAATATTGGAGTCCTTAAAACCACAAGGAGTGGTGCAAGCTGTTAAAGCTATCTGTACTCTTTTATCTCATGTTGAAACTTCAGAAATAACAGATGCTGTTGCAGCTTTCATTCATGTTTGCCTTTTATATGATAAAAATGAAGAATCTGAATTTGATGTTTTACCTGAATTGGGTCCATTGAGCGATTTAAAGAGTGGTAAGAAATCCAATGGGGAAGATCTTATGAAACTCTTTGAATTGTTAGAGTTGAGTTTATCTCATTTGCAGCATGCTGTACATGAATTGCTTGCCATGTATGCTAAAGCATTCCGAGCAAATTTTGAAGTTGAGTCCTCGGATATTCCTCATCAAGAAAAAATGGTTACTGATTTTCTAGACACTCCTCTTTTTGAAATTGGTGTTGTTCATAGATTAGAACCTAGTGTCACTTCTATGTTTTCCAATTATTTCATAGTGTGCGAAATTAATCATGGTAACTCAATTTTGACTTCTGTAACTTCTAAAACATCAATAGTATCTAAAAGTTTTTTTCCAAGAATTATTTTTGAGCAATGGTTGCAGTTTGAAAATATTTCCATGTGTACCCTCCCTGAAGAGTCTGTTCTTTACTTCACCCTTTGGGGGACTTTGAATCCAAATGAATCAAAACAATCGAATAATAACGTATCAAATAAGTCCTGTATTGGGTGGTGTGGAATTAGATTGTTCTCGTACGAAAAAGAACTCGCTCAAGGGTGTTTTCTCCTTGGACTTTGGCCCACAGATATTTTGAAAAACAGTGGGCCGTCCCTTTCGAATCCTGATGCAAACTGCTCTCTTCTTCATGTACGCTTGCCTGATTTTGGTTGCACTGTCAAGTTTCCTCCTGTCATTGACAATAAATTTGTGTCCTCTCAAATAAAACCATTTGAGAGTTTAGAATCGCATCAACAGACTGTATTAAAGGAAATTATTGATAAAGATAATTTAAAAGTTTTACTGTCGGATGAAAAAGAGTTATTGTGGGAGAAAAAGTATTACTTGCAACAATATCCTAATGCACTACCAAAAGTTTTACTATCTGCTCACGGTTGGGACTGGGCATGCTTATCAGACATTTATTCACTTTTGAAAGCCTGGACACCTTTGTCACCTGTTGATTCCTTGTATCTTTTAACTCCACTTTTTCCAAATAGAGAAGTTCGTAAAACTGCTATAGCCTGGATGAAAGACATTGTGAGTGATGAATTATGTGACTATTTGCCACAAATGGTTCAGATTCTGAGATATGAACCGTGGGATGATTCACCAACTGCTTGGTTTCTTTTGGAAAGGTCTTTAACTAGCGTTAGAGTTGCTCACCATTTGTATTGGCTTTTGAAGCAGAACATCGACGATCCGATTGCCGGCGGTAGAATGAAGCTTATGCTTAATAGTCTGTTAACCATTGCGGGCCATGCTATGCGTGACCGCCTGCAAACTCAAGAATCATTGCTAGAGGATTTGTCAAATACTGCTGATAAGATTAAGAATACGAAAGAGTCTTTGAGGTTAAATATTTTATTTTACGAACTTGAAAAGACTCACCACGATTTATTAGATAATTTTACTTCTTTACCCCTCAGTCCTAGTTTAGAAGTTTGTGGTGTGGATGTTAAGTCTTGTTCATATTTTACTTCTAACACGTTGCCTTTAAAACTTGTCTTTCATACTCCAGACATGACTGGAACAAATAATGAAGCCATCTTCAAAGTGGGTGATGATTTGAGACAGGATATGATTACAATACAAATGATTCGCATTATGGATAAGATGTGGTTAAAAGAAGGCCTCGACTTGAAGATCGTAACTTTCAACTGTGTGGCTACTGAATTTAGAAAAGGTATGGTTGAGTTAGTACCGGAAGCTGAAACTTTAAGAAAAATTCAAACAGAGCTTGGATTAACTGGGTCTTTTAAAGACAGATCGATCGCAGAATGGTTGCAGAAATACAACAATTCAGAACTTGAATATCAGCAAGCAGTAGAGAATTTCACTTTATCCTGCGCAGGCTATTGTGTTGCCACTTATATCTTAGGCATTTGTGACCGTCATAATGATAATATTATGTTAAAAACATCGGGTCACATTTTCCACATTGATTTCGGAAAATTTTTAGGAGATTCTCAAATGTTTGGAAGTATTAAACGAGATCGCACACCCTTTGTCCTAACCTCTGACATGGCATATGTGATTAATGGTGGTGATAAACCTTCAAAAAAATTTCAGTATTTTATTGATCTTTGCTGCCAAGCTTTTAATATTATAAGAAGTTATAAGAACACATTTTTTAATCTATTTACATTAATGACATCTTCAGGAATTCCTGGAATGTCTGACAATGCTGTAAATTATATTGAGAAAGCTTTGCTGCCAAATATGTCCGAAACAGAAGCTACTGTCCACTTTACTCACATGATTCAAGAAAGTTTAAAATCTTGGTTCACTCAATTTAATTTCTTTATTCACAACTTGGCTCAGTTGAGATTTACTGGTGACCACAATGACGGATTTGTTTTGTCTTTTACTTCAAAAACTTATTCAAAAGAGTCAGACGGGAAGATTATTTCTGCAGATGTGATTGGCTATCAAAAAATGTATGATCCCGAAAAATATTACATTTACGTTGTAAGAATAGAAAGAGAGAGTTGTCCCGATCCTTTGTGCGTGTTCAGAACTTATCGAGAGTTTATCGAATTCCATCAAAAACTTTGCATGATGTTTCCGCTTGCAAAATTTCATGCATTGCCAGGGAATCCTTTGATGGGAAGAACCAATGTTCGTGAAGTTGCGGACAAGCGCAAATCTGAGCTGAGTCTGTTCTTGCGATCTTTAATGGGCATGGCTGAAGAAATTGCTCATTGTGATTTAGTGTATTCTTTTCTACATCCTTTACTTCGAGATCAGGAAGGAATAGCTCAAGAAAATGAAGCTAGGAGCCTTGCTTCTCGTTCTCGAAGAAGTTCATCAGTGAATGAAATTCATGGTCAAGTTAAACTTTCTATTGTGTTTAAAAATGACTCACTTTTTATTATGGTAATGCACGCTAAAAATCTCAGTTCCCCGAAAGGCACGGCACCCGATCCGTACGTGAAAACGTATTTGCTACCCGATCCGGCAAAATCTACAAAAAGAAAAACCAAGATAGTTTCTAAAAACTGCCATCCTACATTTATGGAAATGCTTGTTTACAATATTCCGCTGGAAGTTATACGTCACAAGGCGCTGCATGTATCAGTTTGGGATTATGATAGAGTTCAAGAAAATGAATTCCTCGGAGCTACTTTAATTCCTTTATCCGGTGATTTGAAAAAGGAATCGGCCAGGTGGTATCCTCTGGGGCAGTTCAATAATTAGTTTGTATATTTGTTCTGTGTTGTTGAAAATGTGCATAAGAAATTTGTAGTTAATGCTGTAAAAAATATTTATACCAATTAATTCCTTTATTATTTTTATATCGCATGAAATTATCTTGATCACTTTTTTCTTAAGGATTACCAAAAAAGAAAAAAAAAATATTTGTGTATATTACTTGTCTTTTGTGATGTCTGCGAATTAATTTTGCATTTATTTCTTATATAAGTTTATAAGGTTAAAAATAAACCAAGCATTGATATTGCTTAGGGCAATATAATGTAATGCCATACTTTCATATTGTTCAGTTGGTTTTAATAGTTTAACTGAGACCCATTTTAAGTACTGAAAGTTGACTATTCAATTTATTTATAATATTAATCAGCTACATTTCATTTATGCAACCCAAGAATTATATTTCTTAACTGCAATTAGTTTCTAGTTTATAATTGCATGGTGCATTCCTTAAATTTTAAACAATTTCTAACATTTGTATGAGCCTATTTTACAAGAGTGGTTGCTGAGGGAGTCCTGACTCTCCCAGGGGTGATTGTGAGCTCAAGTCAAAATTCCGGAAAATTCATAGAGTTAAAAAGTTTAAAAGAAAAAAAAGAACAGTTTAATTGAAAAATTAGAAAAACATTTAAACAAGGTTTTTTTTCCTTTTTCTCAATATTTCTTAGTTCCCTTAAAAATATTTAAAATTTTACACATACCTGGAGAAGTAATTAAAATTTACAAATATGTCTTTCTTTCTTGAGTTTATGATTATAACAACTATTTACTGATAAAAAATGAAAATTAATCATGAATATGAGCTTATAAAGTATCTCTCTGGCTCTCCCTTACAAACAAATAAAATAAACTGTGTTTTTAAGTTCCACCTTTGAAAATTTGATTTCCGGAAACTTCTGTGATGAATGATTTTTTGAAACGTCTGGACCTTCGATCTCCGGAAACTTCCGGATCACTGTTAGCGAAAATTCC